TTCTGGAGATATAACTGTGTTATATTCTGAGGTTTAATAAATAAACAAATAAATAAATGTGTGACTTCCATGGGAAACATTCCTTGTTCCTATCCTTTTCAAAGATATTTCAGCTTTGAAGAGTTCTTCAAGAGCCTGATACATATTCAAGCATAGGCTTCTTCGGTGATATAAAAAAAATCATCCCAATCTATTTTTCATAATTTAGTTAGGGAAAAGTGCAGTCCCTTTAAGTCCTTGAAATTTTATTATACATAATCATAAAGCCCATTAATGAAAAATAATGGTTAATTCTACCGTCACCTATCCCACTATAAAAGTACAGAGTATACCCTATAGTCTTTCTATGTTGACTGCTTTCTCAGAACAAAAATTTTAATCTACAAATTTGTCTTGCCTGTTGATTAGTGAATTTAACTTTAAAACAATTTTTTTAAAAAATATCCTGATTCGTATTCAACATTGGCTAGATAGTATATAAATTACTTGCTATAATGAATTCTAATGCCCGCTGGGATGGGCAGCACTGTGTTCTGCCAGTTCATCTCTTTTCTCTGCGGTCAATCCATGTGATGGTGGTTGGCAGAGAGAGATCTCGCCCTCGGTCCCTACTGTGTGGAGTGTTGCAGGGATCTGCGCCTATTCAACATCTACATGAGGTGCTGGGTGAGCTCATCAATTGCTATGGGGTGAAGGGGTCATTGGTTCACTGATAGTGCCCAATTACACATCTTTGCCCCTGGTTGATTAAGTGATGCTATGAACATCTTACCCTGTGCCTGGAAACTACAAGGGTCTGGATAAATAGCAATAGCACTTAGACTTATATATCATCCCATAGTCTTTTACAGCACTCTGAGTGGTTTATACAAATATCAGCATATTGTCCAGCAACAATCCGAATGCTCATTTTACCGACCTCAGAAGGTTGGAAGGTCTGAGTGAACCCTGAGACATTCATAATCGAACTCCTGACAGACTGGTTAGCCTGCAATACTACATTCTAACCACTTTGCCACCATGGCTAAATCTTGTTGAAGAACAATAGCCTTCAGCTGAAGCCTGGCAAGAATGAATGGCTTTAAATTTTTGGACTTTGGACTATGCCATTTTTGGTTCCAGAGGGGGATGCACTCCCCAAAACAGGCCCTATGCACAGACTGGGGTGTATGTGTCCTCCTAGACTAAAAGAACAGTGGCAGTCATGGTTAGGAGACCTTTCCACAACTTTGTATTGTATGCCTATCATCTTTGCTCCTAGATCAAGGGTCTAGATTGGACTACTGTAATAGGCTCCACCTCTTTTGTTGAAGAGTATCCAAAAATTTCCACTGGGCAAAATGCAATGCAGTGGGCAGTTATGTGTGTGCCTTCTAGAACAGGTGGCAACTTTAAGACTTGTTGGCTGAGGAACTCTGGGAGTTGAAGTCCACAAGTCTTAAAGTTGCCAAGGTTGGAGACCCTTGTTCTAGAACACATATTACACCTCTACTCTGTGAGCTACATTGGTTACCAGCCTGTTTCTGGAATCAATTCAAGGTGTTTTTATCTTTTAAAGCCCTACAGGGCCTTGAGCTGGGTTATTTGAGTCACATCTACCTGTGTCACCATATGTATGCATGCTGTGGTCCTGTCAGCTGGAGAACTACATTTGGTGGGTTCCAGATGATGGTCTTTATTGCCATGGTACTTTATGGAATATCTCCACTCCCCCCCACACTCCCTCAAGTGAGGCTGGCTCCATCTCTGTTGATTTTCCAAAAGTATCTCAAAACCTGATTTTGCCATCAAACCTGAAAACCTCAGGGGACTGGTGAGATACTGAGGTGGCTCCATGGTTATTAATATCTGCTCTTAGCCTAAATAGCTGTTCTCTCTTAGTATTGAGTTTTTAAAACATTTTTTAAAAGTTTATGAAGGCAATAATAATTATTTTTATACAGTACGTAACTATTTTATCCTTGTTCTACATTGCCCAGAGTCATTTATTTTTGAGATGGGCAGCTATATAAATTTGATGAATAAATTAATGCAATGAAATGAAATGAAGATGAAAACACCTTGAAATAATAAAGCAATATTCAAATTCAGCCTGGTTTGAAATCTAGCTCTGGACATGCTACACAAAGCCTGGCATGACCTCTGAGCCACTAGAAGTTGCATAATTCTGTTCTAAGAGAAGATGTTCTTAAATAAGGCCATCGTTCTTCTTGAATAGGAAAAAATAGAACAAGATGTCTCTTTCCAATACTGCTATTAAAAGAGACACAGGAAAATGTGCAACTCTTCTATTCACTTATGAATAAAAGTACAAAGTCACTTAAACTGTAATCCTGAATAAGGATTTGTTAGTGTAACACACACTCAACTTATATTTGTCTAGATATATTTCTTCTGCAGAAAGCTTAGGAATCAACCTAATTCCAGATCTAAATATTCTGAAGTGCTTAGTCAAATAAACCATGTAGGAGAACTAAGAATGCATATCTAGTTTCAGTTCTGCATTTTGAACTGTTAAACACACACTTATTTTCGTTAGATGGAGTGGTAACCTCTTCCAAAGTTAAATACACAGCTGAATTATGGATATATGTGAAAATCCAGCATAAAATTATGCAGAAAGCATGAAGTTAAGCGGGTACATGAGCTCAGAATTAAACACCACTGATTTAAATTGCATTTTGCTACTAATTAATAAATGAATAAAGACACATGTTAGATAGAATATCTTATTCTACCCTTTAGCCATACAAAATTCTTTCTTAGCAAATTATAAGAGACTGTACAGATCAATAAGTTTAGGAATCAAGGAGAAAAGAAACTTTTTGTGAAGAGAGGAGAGGAGAGGAGGGAAGGGGAGGGGAGAGGGTTGTAAATTTATGTTGGTTTCATTGTTAAGCTTGTGGTGGGTGAATGGGGAAGAAAAGGGGCAAAGAAAATCCACCAAGTATTTAAAATACTTCCTAAAAAGAAATACATTTGACACAACTGTATCCTCCCTCACCCAACTCTCTATTCAGTGACTTTCACACAGGCATGACTATTTCTTTCTGTAAGATAATAGGTGGGAAAGATCCACAGTTGACAGTATATACTGCATATCCAATACAGTATTTATCTTTGCTTTGAAACAACATGATATGCATAGCAAAGTGACTGGCATGTGTATAAAATTGAGCCTGTAGATGAATGAAGGCGGCATCCATCTGAAGACCTGAGTCATGCATTCATATTTCAGAATTCATGGAGATTAACTGATTTAGGCAAACAGTGAAAGTGATCACACTGTGCAGGGACTTTCATAAAACGGGTTAGTTTGGGAACATCCTTCTTTCACAGGTATTATTGCTGGATAGCTGTTTAACTTTCTTCCTTCTACCTTGTACTGTTATTTGCACGTACTTCTTCATGTGCTAATTTAATTAAGAAGCCTATCCTATGATTTGAGATACTGCAATACTAAGGATTGGAATGGTCCAGGTGGAATAATGAACTTTAATTCTACTGTATCCACCAATGCATCATCAAAACACTATAGGTCTGTGAAACAATTTGATTTTCTTTTCTTGAACAATGTGATAAGCCAATGGTGAAATTACCACTGATTATAATAAATTGGGACAGCATCTCATCTGCATATAAACTTGAAAGATATAATGAGATTCATGAAGGTAAATGTTACAAAGAAATACCTAAAATTGTTAATTATTTTGAGAGAAGGAGAGATTGGGATCAACAGTGCAGCTAATGTCAAAACATTTATCTTAGCTCCTCAGCTTTACTTGGAGTGACAGTACAATCCCAAACATTTGTTATGGTTCATGCACTGCAGAACAGGATCTGTGCAACTTGCTTGCTCTAATGATAAGCCCCTCCAATTATGTCTTTGACAATGCAACAGCTCTTAGGAACAGAGTATAAATCACCTTTATTCTTTTTATACAACTAATCTTTAGCTAAGTAGTTTCTCAACAGCTGGAAATAGTAATATGAGCAGTAAATCACAGAATTGACAATTGGAAAGTCATAGATTACAGGGTTCACATACTAGGTCCACACGAAACCTTAAGTACTAATTTCCTTAAGTCTTTTAAACGTTAAAATTAAAGGAATTAGGAAAACACAGTTCTTGAGATTATGTTTGGGTTAAGCTCTGAATTTACACAAATGCTACATTTTGCACCTGTACAAATTACTGTGGTTGACTCAGACTACTTAGAACATCTCTTAGTCTGATACATAAACTAATAGAAAAATAGTTGAAATTAAACTTATGCTTATGTATGAAATGTATGTATTAAAGTAAATTCAGCAAAACTATTATGCATTGATCAAGCATAAATTCAGTTTTCTTGACCTGAAGCATGGAAATTCTTTGACAACACTGGTGTTCTGATTCTGAGAGTCATATCTCATTAAAAAAAATAAAATTCTTATTTTTTTGGCCAAAATTAAGCAAACACCATTAAGATAAAAGGAAAGAAACTGAACAACGCAGGCAAAGAATATACCAACAATCTCTTTTATGACAGTTAATCTAGTTTTGCTTTAACATTCACCAGATATATATGTACATTCAGATGTTCAAGTACACTTTACTTTCTAAGAATTTATCTGTCTTTATTGAATGCCAGTGTGCTAAGAAAAGACAAAAAACATTGTAGCACTATTCATTATAGCTACCATAATGAGGCAGAATATATGATTTTGATGCATCATAACTTTGAACTTTGAAATATACATATGTTTGCTTTTGAAAGCACCAATTATCCAGAAGGAATTATAGGAAATGGAGGTTTGGAAGGGAAAAACATTTTCAACAAAACATGTTGAATCTTTTTTTCTACTTCCTAATATTTCACAAGATAACTGTCAATTTCTGCAAAGGGTCTTTTTTATTTTTTTGGTGGTGGTGGTTGTTGTTGCCAAAACTGAAAAGAACCCAGCTGTACAAAAAACAGATTGCAAGCAATTAAAATATAAAGGCAGTTTAGTCATACCTTATTATGTGTCTGTGTTTGTCCAACCAATATGAGAATATTTGATGATATAATAGATAGGCAGAAATTAATTAGGATTATGGACCTCTCAGATCTGATGTACCTGTCCAAGTAAACACACACACATACATACACACAAAAGATTTTTTTAAAAAATGTATTCCATATCAATTTAGTAAATTCTTATTAAAACAAATCATTAATACTGATAATTTTTAAGTATTTAATAACCATTTTAAAGCATAAATATAACTTCAGTAGTTTAAAATTAACTTTTTAAATGAACATCTAAATGAGTATTTAAACATTTTTTAGTTGGCATTGTACCGACTAATAATAATTAATATCAGCATTGGGAACAGAGAAACAAAGAATGTTTCAATAACATTAAGAAATTAGCAACACATATGGGTAGATTTTGAAGTTTGCAATTTCGAATTATTTTGATACTGAAATTAGTAGATACTCTAACATCCACTTCAAAAGGATGCAGCTGTTTGAGTGATTGCAGTCCACTGGGGAATTATTTTTTCAGATGCCATAGAGAAATGACTATGAATTGAATTAAGTATGAATGATAAATTTACTCATGTCCTTCCCATTCTCATAAGATATACAGTGGGCATTACTGGAGGATTATGCTCACAAATGCAGTAGGAATATCTGAGTGGATGTTCATATGATTAACAAAGCTAAATTGATGGTTATATAGAAATGGATTATTCAGATTCAAAATGGAACATTGTTTGCCTAGATTTGTTTCACTAATTAAAGTACTGCTTAATTATGTTTTACAAAGTATATAGACATTAGATGAGATAACTCATTCCATTGCTAAAGAGTTAATCTTGCACAAACTTAATTTTAGTAAATTAATAACATCTCATTTACTTGATGGACAATCATGGCTTTGTCATTCAGTTTAAGAGAAAGTTCATGATATATGGCTCAAAAATTATAGTAATGGGGTATATTTATAAATAGTTTCACAAACTCCATGTTCTATTGTAGCCACATGCCTCATATCAAACGGTTTGAGGATAATGGATACTCAAAGTTATATTGGGAAGACGGGGAAAGTTTGCACAAGCAAAATTCCATTAATGTATATTTTGATCTAAGATGGGGTGTCAAGCTCACCATTGTCACGGTGTTGTTATGGCATCGTCATGTGATGTATCACAATTTTTCTCCTTCATTAAACTAGGTGTGGCCAGTGTATGATACATCTAGGCCACAGGCTGCGAATTTGACAGCCCTAATCTAAGATATTTGCTTCTAAAATGGTGAGTTTCATAGAGAGTAACTAGAAAGTTTAGCAGTACTAAACAATTTAAACTTCTCCAAAATATCATACTTTATAAAATATATTTAGTATGTAAAGATATAATTTATTTTCTTAATTCAGTAAAAATTATTGTAACTACCTGATACTGCACATTAGATATTGTGGTTTATATATATAAACATATTTGTCCGATTTATGCAAATCCTGTATGAAACTTGATTAATGAAAAACATCATTTTTATGTTGAAAAAATATTTTGGATTATACCAAACTGAGTATATTCTAAAGCTGCTACAAAATCTGTTTTTATCAAGGAACTATACTATATTTGATTTGCTCAATCAAAATCTTAGATTTACAAGTTTTTTTTAAAAAAATATGAATCATTCCCAAACAAGCAATTTTGCTACATGGTTAGTGAAGAACATAATGAGCAATTTTACAGAAGTATGAAATCAAATCAATTTATTACAGACATGATGGGCTACCTCTGTACCTTAAAGGGCCCTGGATAATGCTTTTTCAAGTGAACACACAAAGTCTCCTAGTTCTTCCCCCTGGACAGTTTTTTTGCTCCACTGATTTTATTTATTTTATTTTATTTATTTTATTTTTATAACCATCCATCTCACTAAATGATTCTGGGTGGCATTATCTCACTTTCTTCCCTCTGGTCACTCTACTGATGTATCCCTAATCCTAGTTTCACATTACTTTCATTTTAACACAGCCAAAGATATAGTCATAAACATACCTTACAGTATTTATAATTCAACTTTAGAGCCACTTGGACCATAAATACTGTAAAACTCCACAAAAGCCATCCCCATTGCCCCTGGACATCACTTCGAAACAATAAGGCACAGGAGGCATGGTGTTTTACCCTTACAGTTTACACAAGCTAAAACTATTATGCTTACTACGTTCAACTTCTGATACCATTGTATTTTAGTGTGTTCACCTACACATTTTAATATATGTAGATGTATTCATTTATTTATTTCCTCAGTGTCATGCATGAATATATATTAGTGATTAATAATAAACTAGTTCTGAAGTGTTGTTTCTTCTGAATCAATTGGATGAAGCATCTACTTATTCAGATGTCATGGGAAAGAATAATCTGTAAGCATGCTGTAATTCAGTATCATTTTTCCATTCAATGGTTACTTCATTCCCCCCCGCCCCCGTCTACATTGCAAATGGTCATCTCTCTCAAATTGGGATTTTTTTTCCTTGCTTCCACTGTGGATGTGATCTAAGGGACAGCACATACAATCAGTTGAATCTCAGGTGATAATTATGGATGCATTCAATTAGTGAAAATCTGTACAAAAAAAAAACTTTCAACCCCACAATTTCTGTTGGTGTGTGGAAATCATTATGAGGTGTCTCAAATTGTGTCTCTGTACTTGTGTATTCATGGGAGCATTCATTGTATTAAGAAAAAAATTGAATATATGCAATGGTTCAAAGATAGAATTTAGTGAGGGCCTGTTATGCAATAAGCAATATTGTGCCACTGAATCAACAAGAACTAGGATTACATTAGTGGGAATGCTGAAGTACTAGGGGTACTTGTCACTCAATTGTTTTGTTTACCATAATGAATGATGGTCTCAAATTAGAGCTCCATATGGATCTAGGCTTCTCAACCAAAGGGATAGAGGTACACACATATCTTCATAGAAGTGAAAGGGACATTCTTTGAATATAATGGAAATGTGCATTGCAACTTCAGCACTCACAAAGATTTTTTGATCACAACTGATGTCCTTAATGTAATTAAAGAAAAAAAAATAGATATTTAATCATGAGTGTTTTTTATCAGGGCAACCTGGTCTACCCGAATATGGGATGGAGCATACTGCTTCCGCTTTCGCCTTTCAGCCCCAATCCAGGATCCTTTGCAGGCAGTCACTTTCGCAACAAACTATTTTTGTGTTAAATTTATTTCAATTGTCGGTAAATATAAACTTAATCATGAGTAGCACAACTTCAACAACAAAATGTAACATTTTAAACTGAATTATTTGTATATTACAATATCTAATTAGCAACTCTTATAGAAGAGACACAGACTTTTATTTAGAGCAGAAAAGCTTCTTTTGTAGTTTTACAAAGCCACTTATCAATTACATACCTCCATAGTGCTGCATAGACAACTGCTAGGGTGATCAAAGCCAAGCATGAAAGGCCACTGCCTACTATTAGGGTTACTGAGGGAGCACCAGATGATTCCATGATCTGTGGATCATAACAAATATCTATCAGAGGAAACCATATTCTAATAACTGCAGCAAAAAAAAAAAAAAAAAGATGTTGCAAATCTAATTGGTACATAGCTATTTCATGTTAATGGTATTACCAGTAAGCAGCCATTCCTTCCTACTTTAGCGTCAATTTGAGACTGTAATGCTTTTAAGCCCCTGAGATTTCAGAATACCAAGTTAATACCTATTGTGGCCTTGAATAGGATCAAACCCAATTTCACTCACCAAATAAAGAAATAGTTTTGTTTCTTTCCAAGAAGGTTAGTGATATCAACAGTTCCATGGGAGGCCATTATATTTATTGCCATTACAGATTTTTAGCTTTAGAAAAAGAGCAACAGTTTGGAATTACATCTTCCCTTGAAAGCCAAAGTAATGAGCTGAAGAAATAATTTGGCTTATTTTGACAAATTAAATGCTGTCCAGTTCCTTATCCAATACTTATGACCAAACTTTTTTGACAGTACAATAACTTTGCCTTAAAGCTATACATTTTTTCTTGTGGCTTTAAATGGATAAAAGAAACACGTATGGGAGAAATTAACAAAAACACATAGAATAATTGAAAAATCTGGATCTTTAAAACAAACAGACAAAAATGTCTTCTTCTGTTTAATATTTTCACAGTTGAAGAATAAATGACCTTGAGGAAGAAAAGTCTTTTTTAATTCCACCAAATATACCTCACACATATCAGCACTTCTACTTCTTTTATCAGTTTTTTTAACTGCAAAATGTATATGTCATTGGCTAATTAAACCAAGAAGTTTTCAGAGATACCCTGCTTGATTTAGCAATATGCTGCTGAAAAGCCTAAAGGCTCCAGTGTAAATTACATTTTATCTAGATATGATGTGTCATCTAGGCAATATAAAATGTATTGCTTAAAATGGATTTTGAGTTTATTTCAGTCAGACACTTCTAGGTTACAGGTAAGATGATTGCTGACTGTACACTTAACACTGTTTCCCTTAGGTTGCCCAGGTACTTGAAAATCTATTTTAATAGGCAGGGCTTTTTTTTAAAAAAAAAAATCCATACATAGTTATTTTTAGTTATTTTACATTTTTGTTCTCATTTTATGCATATAGAATTGTCTCTCATAAATGTCAACAAATAATATATATTCCCTGTACTGAAAACGCACAACTGCAATCTGTTTAACAAGAGTGGCTAGGTTCCCTATTCTACTGGCACTAATGATCAGAAATATCTCGCCCATTCCTATTTCATTAATTTATTCTTAAATGTAATCTATTACAGTGGCTAAATTTCCTCTTTACAAATAGGACCTGCTCGACATCTGAAACTGATAGTAGTTGTTTATGTGGCAAAAATCGGTAATTCATTTCCATAAGCTGTAAGCTACGAGGGAGAAGATCCAATCTCTTTCTGACCCGCAGCAGTGATATAATTCCTGAATACAGGTTACTGAAATATCTCTGGAGTTAATCCGGAATGCATTAAAACATTCTCCCAGCCTTTCCATTAAACTCAGGGATTTTTTTTTTTTTTTTTTTTAGTTTCCCTCCCCTCCTTTGTTACTTACTATTTCTCTAGGTTGCTGAGCCAAAATGGCGAAGGTAGAGAGACGATCACATAAGCATTTTGTATGGGATGCATCGGTAAGCACAGTTTTACATCCCTGGGTGGACCAGGTTCCCAAAGAGTCGTTCCTGCAAGAATAGAGAGAGAGAGAGAGAGAGGGAGGGAGAGAGAGAGAGAAGAGGGAGGGAGGATGAGAGGCAGAGGGGGAGGAGGAGGAGGAAGAGAAAGAGAGAGAGAGGGAAAAAAAAAAAACCGGGATAATTACAGCGGGCGGTCAATTCCGTGAAAAGAAAAGGCAGTTTAATTGAGAGCAGAATCTAGTGTGGGTTCCCGGACAGAAGAGATCTACTTGTTGTTGAATAGGACTTAATTTAGATGCATCTCCAGCTGTACAGTAATGCGGGGGGGGGGGTTGGGGAGGAATAGAGGCGGCGTGGAGAGGTGGGGGGATAGAAGGCAAGCAGGCAGCTCTGCCGAACGCAGTGAGCTGTCCAAAGCTCTTGGTGCTGAAACCACATCCAGCTTCAGAGTTCTTTCTGCCAGCCAGAGAAGCGGAAGCTTTTCTCCGCCGTCCGCCGCTTCCCTTAAACTGCTCGGAGCACTGCAAAAACTCATCGCGGGGGGAATAAAACAAAAGCCTCTTGTGGCTTTCCCTCTCTCTCTCCCCCCCCCCCCCACGCCACCCCCCAGTGCATACCATCGCTGCCTGGGTCTGGCTTCACACGTATGTGAGGCTACAACCTTTCTCTCTTTCTCTCTCTCTCTCTCTCTCTCTCTCGTGGACGCGTGTGCAATTTAAATGCGGATGGCCGTGAGATATCTGCCTGATTAAGACTGATTTGAGATTGGCCGATTCTTAGGTCTTCCTCTGCTGCTCGGCTACGCTCGTTGCTGCTGCTGTTAAGGTAGAGATTCTCCTCCGGTTGGGTTTTTAACGTTCAAGCCTGAGGATTTCACCCTGGAAACCGGCAACAGCATTCCTCCTCCAACTCTTCCTTCCTTCCTTTTTCTTTCTTTCTTTCTTTCTTTTTTTTTGCCGTGCCTCTAGCAGTGGGGTGGATTTCAGCAGGGTACCACATCTTCAAAGGGACACCTGGTCGCCCTCCAGACTTCCCCCTGTCCAACTCGATTTCATCCTTTCCCTTCCCTCCCCTCTCAGTTCCAGGGGTATTCGGGAGTGGGGGGGGAGAATGGTGGTTGGGAGTATTAAGGGATCTCTCTTCCCCAACGCCAGCCCCCACCGGCAACCTTTTGGTTTTGCTTTTTAAAAACAATCACCTATCCCTGATTAGGTTAGCCCTTTAAAAAGACAAAAGCTTCTGCTCAAATCTTCCCAGCAGAACAATAAAATGGTACCAACCCACGTTTTCCTTGTGCGGAGAAAAAGAACGAGGCAGGAGTGGGGGTGGGGTAGCAGAGAGAGAGAGAGCGCAAGATATTAATCTTGCCTTCCTGTGAATTAAAGGCATTTGGGGAGTGGGGGGGCTTTGAAAGAACTCAAAACTGCTATCACTGATTGTATGTATTGCATATTAAAATGGGATATTTTCCTTTTCCCTTGCATCCCTCTGCATAAATAATCTCTCTAGCCCACCTCAGGTTCATTGCCAAGCTTCGTATGCAGCTATTCACATATTGCCTAAGCTTCTGCTTATGCACTAGTGGGAGGACTCTGCCAGGAACAGCAAACTCTTACTTTCCCTCCCCAAGGTCCTTAAAATAAAGAGAAGCTGGAGTGGAGGAGTGAAAGCTTTCGCCTTCAAATACCACCCCCTTCTCTCTGCCTTTGAACCACCTGCTTTGGATTTCCCTCTTATTTCACGGGCATTATTGTAAACAGCAATCCTTACACACTAGTCCTTTTTTCTTTGAAAGGTATATCATCCCAACCCACTGTGCACCACCTTATTCTTCAGTGCCCTGCAGGTTCATCCTTTGGCATTATAAATACTTTCAAGACCAGCCTGTAAAATAATGCTTAGCCCTAGATGTCATTTAACTATAAAACAGAAGACTATTTATTAAAAACATGGAAACTACCACTACTAAATGTATCTGCCACGGATGAACCGCACATATTTGTTGTATTTGTCCTCCTGAATATTGTTTTACTTTGTCTTGTGCTGTTCAAGCACAAATGAAATACATTTATCAGAGATGATTAAATATTCAAGAAGATGCTAGTTTAAGGGAAACTGATATGGCTTAACACAAAAATAATGTTCAGTTTTCAATTCAGTTCAATTCAGAGGGGTGCTTAACAGGGCTGGACTAAACATGGAAAGTACTGGGCCGCAGCCTAATATTTGGTTGAAGGCTACTGTTTTCAGAATATGATGGTTAGAGCTGGGAGAGCTTGTTTGATTGCCATCATATTTAAAATGCAAACTCAATCCACTGTGAATTAGACCATAAACCTCAACCAATAGGGAAGAAGGAAGAAAATACAAGGTTTGTTTTACTTAAAACCATATTGTCTATAATGCACACTCATGTCCATCTTATTAAGCTTAGATAATTTCTAGATCATCCGCTTGATGGCTAAAGTCTGCATAGAAACTATAAACTAAGAATTCAAGTCTTCCTGTAGGGGAAAAAAAAACCTAACTTGGATGAATAGATAGAAATCTAAAAAAATTATTTAATATCATCAGCCACAATTCATGACACTTCTTAGGAGATGTACAAAGTTCTGTTTATATAACCTGGATTTTTGTGGTCTTGTTGTCTACATTGTACTGCTTTGGACACCAATTCACCACTATGTCCAGTGATAGTAATGGTTTGTTTGGTAACCAAGGGAAAACAGGAAGAGAAGGAGCCCTGACTGCAGAATCTAATAAAGTCTATTGGTTAAATGGTTATTGGGCTTCCAAATTAGCAAAAGGCCTAATTTTTATGTTGTTTTTGCGACATGGCTTTCTCTTCCAAAACCATTTTTGCTATAGTTGGTTCACATCTATCTCTCATAATGTATAGGGTGCCTATAATACATGCAGATACTTCCTATATAAATTTCAAGGGCCTTGAGAAAGACATGAAAATGCAATCAAAGCAGTCAATTTGTTGTATGACTTTGATGCATTAATGATGAAACTTGGAAGCCAACCATGTCGTTCCATTTATTTAAATGGTCTTCCTCTATTTAAGTGGAATGATACACTTAGTACTATATACGAAGCGTTATAGCATTGCTTCTCTATAAAATAGGCTTGCCTAAGATCATCCATTAAGACTATAAGCAAACTGTGAAATGATCCAGAATAATGTTTGCTCCTGATTTGACCACTGCATTGTACATGTGGAGGATGAGAGAGATTAGGATACCTCAAAAAATGTATTACAAAAACAGGACAAGACTAAAAGTTGTGCATAACAATAATTATAATTTCAATAGATTAACACAGGATTGAAAAAAAACCTTTTATTTTCAAGTCAAAGTTTTTTCCTTATATAATTTGATTAAAAATTCACCTTAGCTGTGCATGACTGCTTTTCCCCTAAGTGTTACTCCCCTAAATAAAATTTGCTTAGAATGCACAACAGCGGCAGCAGCAGCTCCTGGAAAATTGTGCCACCTATTGTTGCCTGAATCCATCTGTATTTTTGATAAACTATCTTCTTCTTTCCAAAAAGCTAATACTGAAAAGGATTATTTCTAAGGTTTAAGTCATATTTCCACACAAGACACTTTCCATCTGATGATGGGAAGCATCCAATATATCAAGGAACTATAAGAACAAGAAAAACAACCACAATTCAATTAGAAAATGAAGGACGGTGCTATCCTTTGCATTTACACTTTGATCTTTCTCCATTAGTTTCACCACCTAATTTTGGGAATAGTTATCAGAAGGGACAAGTAGAAAAGTCTTTTTAATTGAGTGGAATAAATCTTGCTTTACTGTGGCTCCAGTCTAAAGCCCATTCAATAACTGAAGGTCTATAAAGGATTATACAAGTGCAAAGGGAGTAAGGGCACACAACCTATACTTGGAAGTATAGATACTTTCAACTATTCATATAAATACATTTGAAGAAACCACAGATTTGGAGAAGTATATGAAAACTTTACCTCTTACACACACACTCAAGCAAAACCATTGCAAAGCCTAGAACACTCATAAAATAAGAATCCAGCGCCTTACTGAACTGGAGAGATCATCCCCAGCAAAGCTATGATTTGAATGCTGCCCTTGTCATGATTGGAGGGAGCAATAATTGTCAGATCTTTGCTCCCTCTAAAACCTTCATTCTTCTTTCAACATTGCTCTGAAGAGTCCTTCAACCTTCCCAATTATATGTTCAATGTCAAACACAAATAGGGGACTATAGAGGTTGGGAAACAATGAAGATTGCTTTCTTCCTCATCCATTAGCAGAAAAGTTCTACTGGCTTAAAAATTTTCTGTGGATGGAAGAAACATTCCTGTTCACAGAAGACTGACTCTGGAGCCAAGCCAAAGAGAATAATTAAGTTTGCATAATAACATGACTAGTTAAATTTATCACGCAATTTCAGTGTTCACAAAATATATTTTTGAGTATGTACTCAGAACAACTTTTTAATTATCCTCCTTAAATTCTATATATTTTCCAAATGATCTGTCTACAATTATAAATAGACTAAATAATGTATAATTTTTTAAAAAATGAAAACAAATCTGGAGTAAATGGGATATATGTGATTCATTTAGCCCAAGTGCATATTGTTACTTCTATAGGATCCTGTATCTATGGCTTTTCGGTTCCTTATATTAGTGGCTATTTTGGTTTCACCAAACTTACGCTATTTAAAAAATATTGTAAGCCAATCTTTCTCTACCTAATGCTCTCCAGATTTATTGGGATTGGAACTCCCAGAATTCCAAAGCAATGGCCACAATGGGCTAGTAATTCTGGGAATTGTATAATGAGCCCTTTTGGAAGACAAAAGATATGCTAAAAGTTAGTAGCATCTGGAAGGGCACATCAAAAACAGAAGATAACAGAAGCAGCATGATCGCTTAGGGTCTGCCTCTTTTATATAGGCACTGGCCATACAGTACATGCGTGTATGAAGGGAGCTTGCATGGTGATTCCATGTTTTGCCATTTTTGACACACATATGCACAAATACTCTTGTTGCT